TCGGGATTTTTTACACGCTGTAGTGACTTTTCCTATTTCGCCCTAATCTATCCCTTCCCCTTTCATCTATTTTCTCCCCCAGTCTTTTTCTCTGGGGATGGGGCGAGAACGGGAACAAATTCTAGAAATCATTGCGGGTGGTATAACACGACTTTGATGTTAGCTCTATCAACTATCCGTACTGGGATCAATTCTCTGGAGATGAGAGTCAATGACCATCGGCTCACTTCCAGCCCTAGAGTATTTTTTATTAATCAATCGTCACCAGTTTCGCAAAGTGCAATTAAAACTTGTGAATTTTCACTCTCCACTCGCTACAAATCGATCTCCCAATATTTTGGGCTTCCCCCCAATTCATCAATTGAACTACTCCATAGATAACAACATGAAATAATCCCAAAAGAAATTTCCCCGCCGTATAATTTTTGCAATTGACACGAAAGTCTTGCGGAGTTCAATTAATCCAACCGTCAAACTTTACGCTCTCAATTTATCTCATTCATGGTACGCCAACTGCAGATTTAATTTAATTCAAATAGTATTTCAGTGACAGAGCAGTAAACTCCCCATTGTAATAGAACATTAACTTTACTATGCCAAAACGACAAATTACTCGCAATTATTTCCAAGATTATATACGATTTAATGACTCACGTGAAATACCTTTTATCGTGTCAGCTGCATGTACTCACACATTTGTAACTACCGAAATTATGTGATAATGAAAGTACTCGAGTGTGACACGTGCAATTGAATGGTTGAAACGGACCAAGGGTTGGAATGTTTTCGATAAGACTGAATTGGTGAGGGAGGACCGCGTGGCTGAGTACCTGACACGGGGTGGAACTACCCCCACCAGAGTGTATCGAGTCTTCAACCCCTGGGGCACCCCCGTACTTTGTTCTACCCTCACCACTCACTTCCACCCACTCTCTCCCACTTTTTCCACCCCTCAGTCACCCCTCTGCCAGTCTCAACCCCTCACAGCGCCCCTCTCCTTCTTTCATTCTATTCTATATTATTATTACTCTTATTTTTATTATTTTCAGCCTCTGTACAATCCACAGTTAATAAAATTCAATCAATCAATCACTTCCAGCTGTCACTACCCTCTGCTGGCACGTCCTTAATTGTGATAATTGTGATAACAGCTCATCCAATCTGTGTCACTTTAAGACTTTTCATTTCGATCTTCAAGTGAACTAATTGCAGCAAGAAAAATCAAAATTAATAAAAATACCAACGGAATCACAAGTAACTATGATAGCGCAACGCGCGCTGTCATATTTTTTTGATAACGAGAATAATTGAAACATATTAATGAAATATTGCTGAAAACATTCCGAATACTTACGATATGATTATTCAATTTTATAATATTCTGTAAAGATGTATATATTTTTTTTAATTGTTTTTTTTTTTAAAAGATTTGACACATCAGTGGGTAAATTTACTCGGTGGAAAATCCCGATGGATCTTGATCCCATGTTTTTTGTCAAAAGTTGGAATTGCCCAGTTGCTCACTGAAAAGCGAATCAAGAGAGCATTGCAATGTTTTGAGTTAATCTGGTATTTGTACGTTTCACAAGTTACGGAAGATCCCATGGGTTTCATCTGGACGGCGTACCGCGTGATACACGTGGATGACTGGGGATTTGCATTTGTCTCCATTCCCTTTCGCAATTGACGCATTGAAAACAAAAAAAAAAACAAAAATACCCACGTTCCATGGATCTCACCTATCTGACAATTATGCTATCAAGTAATTAGCACGCGGTTGAAGTAGGAATAACTTTTAATCCTTTTGGATGCGAGAGAAGTCTCATACAGTCGTCTCTCAAATTGCTCAGACAAATGGCGGATCTACGTGACAAGAATAAAATGCATTTACCCAGCCTCCCTTGGATAACTCAAGTCGCAATTGACTCTTTTATTTTTTTATCTCCGTATCGAAATATAATTGTTATTTATTCATCTCATCATGCGTACATCGAACGAATTATTGACTTATCGTAGAAAAATACTTGTGAATTAATTCTTTAATGATGATATAATAAATTATTTCGATACGAAAAAGACAGGAATTATCCGAATGATTCAAGGACATGGAGATTATTTATTTGTGTGGATCGTATTGGGTGCGGTTAATAGATATTTTGTAGGTATAGGACATTTTTCAAGTATTCGGATTATTCGGGAGGTAATGACATTGTCTTACGACAAATGTAATTTATTACATCCTATTTCTGTGAATCGTTAGTCCTTCGTATATGCAGATTTCACTTCCGACTGTCGATTGCAAAGTCGTTGACGAATCGCCTTCTAGGACAGAAAATCTGAGAATTGCGTGACTCAGAGCGATGAATCAAGGAATTTACGAAAAAACTTATAGTACCACTTCGACGCGTTGGATGTCAACAACTTTGTGATTTAACGATCTCAATATTTTTACATTTCTGCATTGAAACAGAAATCCTGTAATTCGTCAATTCATCGCTGTTGACTATTTTTTCTGCACCCTATATTTTATTCAATAGACTATTGAAGACTGAATTTGTACAGGAAATTCTATTGAATGGCATAGATTTTGTTATGAATCAATACGTGAAGCATTCGATTTCCTGTTTGGAATGAAGGATTGTGTCCCATTGAGAATGAATCCGTCAATGAAAATTTGATGATCAGGTACTGCGTTAAACATGAGATTGACAGGTAATTGGGAATACTTCTCTGTGATATTTAAATATTTACATTACCTCTGGCCCTAGCCTCCCGTCGACAAGGGGTAGATAATCATCTGGGTCAGAGGCGCGGGATGATTTCCTGATCAGACTGGAAATGATAGAATGCATTCAATAAAATTTTGGTCGAATCATCTCCAAACCGTGGAGTTAAGACTATCCAACTGATATTCACCGATTACCAAATAATATTGAGGATTTAACTATAATTAATCTAATTATTTCACAATCCCTACAATTTATTTTTTCAAATACTTCATAACACCAACTGTTTCACTTGATTCCCCCAATTTGTCAAATTGAAAAAAATTACATGTACCGTCTAAATATATTATTCCTCCCTGCGGACTCTTCCACCCTGAAGTGACATTAGCAATTCTAATGTCCCCTGAATTCCTCCGTCCCATTCCTATTTCACAAGTGAATCCTATTAAAATATCTTCAAGTGTACTTTTCCCAGAATAAACGAAGAAGTTGAACAGCGAATCGCCCCATTGGCTCATGAATATTTTATTTCGCGGATAATATTTTCGTTACTCGAGGGACAGACACGCTCAAGATTTTCCAGAAGACAAATGAGCTGGTCATTATCGGAGAAATGAACTCCAGTGGAAAAATCGTAATCATTGAATCGAGCGCAAATTCCACTGCTGCGAATGTTATCACGATCCTGCTGATAACGCAGCTTCCTTCTAGTTTTCTGGAAAAATTTACAAGGGCATTCCCATGAGAGATCCTCCTCTTTACGAGGCCTTCTTCCCTGAAAACTCCCATCAAACGAGTTTCATGTCACCCCGAAGGTACAGAATGGTCCGTACAGAAGCATTCAATTATACTCCATCATTTTTATCTCTTTGAAACCCCATCCAGAAAACGCTCATCGAATACTGATCGAAGATAAAGGTCCTCAATCAGTTCTCCCCTGAAATAGCACAATTTTGATAATGATCAATTATCATCATGATTAATTAAATTCATTGCGGTTGCAATTTAAAAAATTAATAAAATTCAAATGAGTTCTTCAGCCGAACATTCATCGTTACCATCAACCGATCAGGCAGAATCTCTAGCCGTAGATGACTGATGAATCTTAAAAAAAAAATGAATTTGCGTTTAATTCGCAATCCGACACGTGTTGTGCTCATTGATATGAAAAAAGAAAATGCGATTCATCGAGCGTCAGTGCGATGTCGACAAGATTGTGTAATTTTTGTAAACCTTATGACCAACGAGTTATTCAAAGTGTCATAAACAGATCGGCAATTTAGAGTTATTATCAAACATTGTTGCGACAATAACTAATGTTATGGATATAAAATTGTTTATGCATTTTATCAGAGATTATAGGATTTTACTGCACCAGTCATGTTTCGTTCGAACTTCTGCATTAACTATGGCTGGTACAAGAGTATCTGCAAACAGCAATTCGCGGTATCAATGCCTGCAGAAGCTATTGGAAATCAGGATGTCTCCGTGGTGATGCTGGATTGATTGCTGCTGCTGTTGCTGTTGCTGTCACATTGCCAACAATATGACAGCGGTCTTTCCTCTCCAAGAACCACTCCTCTGAATTTTGACAGCGAAATTTCCAAAAATCAGCCGATAATATTCAGGTCCCCAATCGAATTCCCCACACCTAGATTGCATACCTGACAACCTGAAAAAACTCATCACCAAAAACCAAAAAACTCGAGAAAAAACTTCAGGTAGAATATCTTAATCAAAATAAAGATGAAACGACTTGCGAGAAAAACTGGGCTAAAAGAACAGCAAAAAAGAAATACAAAAACTCGAAGCGAAAACACTAAAGTGATTTTCCCACCGGGTTTTATGGCGAAATCATTTTGGCCAGATTTTCCTGACGATTTTTTTTTTAAATAAGTTTTTTTTGAACTTTACCCTAGACTCGATAAATGCCGGTTATCGCCTAGAAATAGTGAAAAATCGGTTCGACGAGTGGAGAGAAGGGCAGAGCGGATGGCACAGGTGAATGTACTCTCAGTGAGGCACATCGTTGGGCTTTTACCGATCCTGCTACCGATCTCCTAGCTCCTGCTCCTAGACATCGATACCAGGATAACATGTCGCAAGTGGTAGATAAGTGGGACTTGCTAGAGAGAAGGTACATCGCAAAGAGAGGGGGGTACTTGCAAACCGGTTTTTGCAACTCAGCCGATACAGCAGGTACTCTCACTGGATCGTTTCGGTTTATTACCTCCTCATATGTCAAGGCATTTTGCGAGGAAAGAGAATTGAATGTATCACCATGAGAAATAGTGTAAATGTATTCCCAAGCTTACTTAATCAATTAAAGATGCATTACAAAAGTAATCATTGGCAGATTATTGGGTAAAAATAACGATTGCAGGCGGATTGCACTGTGAAGACGTCATCAGCTCTTATTGTTTTTTAAAATTTCTTGACGCCAACGAACGTTAGACGAATAATTGTCGTCTAGGGTCGAGACGATTTCCTTCGTGAGAGATTGAAACTCCTTTTGCATTATCGCGTGTGTATTGGCCATCAGTTGGTCCACGTCATCGGAAACTAAATCCTCCGTTGAAATCGGTTCTAAGGCCTTGATTATCACTTTTCCTGTGCAACGAAAAAAATCACGTACATGTTGTCTCTCATTATTTCAATTAAAATCCCGTGAAATCGTTTAGCGAAATAATTTCACTGGGCAACTCACCGTGTCCAAAAAAGTACGTCTTCTCATCGATGAAATAATAAGGCGAAAAGACAAGAGGTAGAATCGGCAAACGATTATCAATTGCTATCTTGAAGGCGCCCTTCTTGAACGGCTGAATTCCATTCGATAAAATATCTTTATTTCTCGTGCCTTCAGGAAAAATTAACAGCTTCGTCTACCTTGACCATTTCGTTAAATATTTTCTATAAGAACTCCAGCTAATCTTTCATTTCAATATATCTCTGATACTTACAGCATGGCTCTGGGATTTATTTGCAACATTGACTAATGTTTTCATTGATTCTTTTCCATTTTTACGATCAATGAACACTGTACCAGCTAGCCATGCGATTGGACCAAATGGAATGACCCAGAGTAACGCTTTTTTTGAGACTGCAGCCAAGTTTCCTAGCGTTGTCCAGATATTGAATAAACCTGGGGTGCAGGAAGTCAGAGTGAATCAATATAATCTCAGAGACAAAATCGTGGATCAGTGGTAATTGTTACCTAATATATCTAATATACTTTGGTGATTCACCACGACAACACAAGCCTGAACTCTCTCAATCTCCTCGACACCCCGGAGTTCCCATTTGATGCCCAATAATTTTGTATAAAGTCGAAGAAATATCGAGGCATGCCTAATACACGACAAATATAATGAGCGAGGAAAATTAATTATTCAAGGCAACTAGCTAGATTACAAGAGACATTCTTGTGACTTTTCTTTCCATTAAATAACGGTTAAAATTATCGTTTCAACTAATAAACATGTTTTTCAGTGAAAAATACATCCATTTATGATTTTTCAATGTCAGATCATGCGAAGAGAGGGCAATGTGAAATAACGCATGGCTGAAGGAGAGATAAGCCTCTGATAAAGAAATTGCACCGAATTTTCATTTTATGAGATATGATGAAATTATCATACGAAAAAAAAAACGAATTGTTAAAAATATCTACTACATTAACCTCTTGACGATAACCCAATCAATGTTAGGTGTTTCAAAACCCAAATTCAAGAATTCGGAGCACGAATTTGGACTCAGATTTGAATTTGACAGTCGAAATAATAAATTCTTGACGAAAATCTATTTAGTTCCTCAACAAGCAAAAATGGGTAATACAATTTTCTGTTAAAAAAATAATTTTCCAGATGATTTTCCAGATAATGAGAATATTAAAGATGATTTGCGTGAATTATCAGGTGACATATTTCTCACCTGGCGTGTTTCACGTGGCCCGGCGAATCGACGAGAATAAACGGTAGTACAATTACCGCGACAACTGAACTCCACACAGCATAAAGTACATATTTCGCGTAATACCTCAATTTATCGCGACTCTCAAAGCCACACGAAATAACAAAAACAATAACGGGCAGAAGATAAACCAAGAAGTCCATTTTTCGAGTGGGTTCATCCGACAACTGGTGTCCGTATGCGAATGCCGTCCGTAATCTCTTCAGCGACGGTTTAAAGCAACGTGTATTCCTCGGAATTGATTTGGTATTTCGATTGCTTGTATCATTATCGATAATCACACCGAAAACATAAACTCTTTAACGCAAGAGAGAGGGATAAGAAGGCGAAAAGATACCAGAGGAATTCAGCAAGAAAGCGACGACAATGTGCGACTGTTTGGCTGGTTCTGAAATCGAGAGCACGATTGAGAGACGGATCGAAATAATCCAGGAGGAGGGGCATAAGGGGTAGCAACCCAATATCCAACCATGATTAACGCTGGTAATCAATGACTAAATGATAACACAATTATCACATTACCACATTGTTTCCCACATAAAAACGTTCGGACAAACTACTACACCGATTCAACTTTATCGACTCCAACAAAAAGCTCTCTATACACGACTCTTTGAACAGATGATTCACTACTAGCGATAAACCAGCTAACCCACACAAAAACACACTCATACTTGCCAGCAAGTGCGTTGCTGAGGTAGTGGGGCTACAGCTTATTATTCAGCTATCGATTGGTCTTCTACCCTACTCTACAAATAAGTTGGACAAAGAAAGCGTCGGATTTCCCATCATTGATGTTTAATGTCAGGTAATTATTTACAAATAGTTGATAAGCAATTAAGGATTGAATAGTCCAAAGAGGCCGAAGGGCTTCCGCGGCTTTATGGCTGTGGCCAATCAGAAGAATCGAGATCTCAAGTGCTGATTGCTATGTTGAGGGCCTGTCTGATGATTATCACGGCGGAATGGTGGCTCACTGCAACGGTAATCACACAATTAACAAGATATTTACAAAATTATTTTGGGATTATTGTCCAGATTGCCCACCATCCGGTTACATTCTCGGCTGCATCACATGCGTTTATCAATTCACTGAAGGCATTTCCCTCGCCGCAATTTTGAAGTCTCGGGCGACCCTCGACGCAAACGAAATATCGCTGACAGTCGTTTGGACTTCTGAAGAATCTTGTCTCGCCGGAGTATTGGTTGTTATCACCTGGGGGGCACCGGAATCCCAGGAAGGCTGGAAGCACACACAGTATCAGCTGGGGATTTTACTGTCGTAGGGATTTTTGGAATTGATAATGAAGGGATCGCGGAATTAATTAGAAGAGATTAGTAGTGAAGGGACGGAAGGGGTAATTTATTTTCAGGAATACCTTCGGCGTCGCAGTCTGGCACCTGATCTGGCCAGTCGCAACGATAAGAGATTGGGTTAAAGGCCAGACCTTCTGGGCAATCAAATGTGTAGCCAACACCTGCTGCGCAGTTCTTGAATTGGCCGCAATTTTGACTATCGCCGATTTTAAAATAGCCGTATTGGTGAGGACAATCGTCGGTCGGATCTGCTGGTTCTGAGAACAGATTATGAATTCAAAATTCATGGGTAAAATGTGTCCGTTCCCGATAATTAATGCCCACGAAAAAAAAAACAGGTCTACCGTAAAGTAAATTCAAAATTGGAGACAAATTTTTCATATTTTTTATCCCAAATCATTCGGAACTTTTGAAATGACTTGCTGTATTCAATATCGTGAACTCATAACATTGTGTTATCTGACCTCGTGATAATAAAAAAATATTGAGTTTCAACAAAACGTGATGTCACAATTTTAACATCAGTTTTTATTAAAATTTCATGTTGTCTGACGACCGCAAGGTCAAAGCGGAGCTATTATTTTTGTTACGACTCTGAAGGTGCAATAAATTTTTTGCCACGCTGTAAATATAGTTGTTAAACACGTTGAACAGTTCAAATAAGCTGATATAAAATTATTGCACCTGAAAGTGTCAACGAAAAAAAAATACAATACGCAAAAAACAAGCGCTTCGTGCGATTTTCTGGTTTCAGATTTCTTAAAAGAAAAAATTCCAATTACATCTGCTTCTAGTTTAGATTCCTTGAATCCCCGAATTTTTTAAATAGTCATAATAAAGAAGAACTGATTAGCCGTAACTCACGAAGCTTGGAACGGCCTTCGCAGCTGACATCGATGGGATATCCGCAGGGATAATTGAATCTGGCATCTGGATTGAACATGAGACCCTCCGGACACAACTTCTCCTCGCCAACTCCATCAATGCACTCAATATACGCATCACACTGCGATGGAACTGGAAATCGTCCAGTTTTCTCCGGACAAGACACCTTGGATTGTCTCACACCCTGATCAATCTGATTATTCTGACCAAATTGCCGCTGATTGACCCGATTCTGGGTATTCTGGTTGAATCGGTTGGCGCTATTCTGATTGACTCGACCCCCGGTGTTCTGATTGAAAGTCTGCCGTTGGAATTGTCCATTGCCTGCAAGAAAAAATTAACTTATGCTGTTGATGGATCATGATTGAGAAGCAGAACAGACACCGGATGCGGCTCGAATGCGGGAACAAATTCACCGGGGCTCTTGTCAAGCTCAAAACAAAGTGACGAATTATAAATTTAGTCTCAGGGTCGCATTACTCAGGACCGAATGAGAAGAAATAGTTGATACGACGAAAGAAATACGAATTAGACGAGTATAAAATTTCATTCCACTCAAAACCTTCCACTCATTTCTCCATTTTATTTTTCATTTTTCATTGAAGCATTGAAACCATTACCTAAACTTATTAATAAACAAATATTGGCATTAATTTTATTAATAAAAAGGTGAATAATTTCTACAGCTCGCACATTTATTGTACTGAGCCTATCGTCTACCCTAACTTCGACTCGTTTATAAATCAAATGAGTTGGACCGAATAAATAATTGATACAAGTACAAAGTGCTGACCAATTCTAGGCGTATTATTGATGAGACATTAGCATACTCGTGGGTTGAATATATTATATTATCCGGTATATGGCATCACCATCCCGCGGATTCTGGTGTTCGTGAGCGGTTGGAATGGGGGAAAGTCAAAATTACCATCACGATAGTTATGTAATTGAACGGCGAGACACCTGGACCCAATTCCAAGAGAATTAAACCTTAGCACAAAGTTATTATCTTTCATTATCTTCACACTATTATGTTGAATTTATTTAACGATTCAATTAAAGTTATACCGAGGGATTAACTCAATCCCAACTGGTTACACTGACTCTGATGTAATGAGAATTACGCTGGGCTCATATGACTTGATTAAAATGTGAAAATACTATTGCATAAAATTGTTATAGATCTAGTACGTACACGTGCTCGCTATGAAAATAGCAACAACCAGAAAAGATATCTGCACGATGTACCCCATTATCTTGTTTAAATGGTGTCTTGTATTGGCTCAGCACGTTTCACGGATAAAAATGACGAACTACAGAAGACACCTGATCCTTTCGGTGGCTTTTATCACCTTCGATGGAGGAAAGTGAGAGTTTCTGGTGAGTCTTCTTCGTTGGGTCCAGAGTAGGGGCAACTGAAGAAGATACATGGCACTGAAAATTCCGGAATAACAAGGTACCACATTTTTTTTTACAATAAAATCAACTCCTCGCTTTTTTTTCCACCGTCCAAATGAATTCCTCAATGAAATATTCTCGCTGTCATTATTTTCTCATTGCGCGCAATGAGCTCAAGTTGAAGGTTGCATTGAGCTGAAGAGGATAGAGATGTTTGAAATAACTTTGTGAGACAAGGTTGATATTTCTGAATCATGCCTTCAACATTGCACCTTGAAACCCTTTCAAGCATTTGGAATTCCAGTTGCTTCTCTCATTGCTCCGGGGAATGATTACAAATTGCGTTTTTTTTATGGTACGGTGTATTGGTTTATTCTTTATTTATGTTAGATAGTGGATTAGGCCGAGAAATTTGAATGAAACACAGGAAAGCGAGTTTGGTTGTTATGTACACGAGAAGAAGAAAATGTCAAGGCTCTGATTCTGCGCCTCGAGGCACGAGACATCGCAGATTGCGCAACAGTTTGTTAATTGAAGAAGAAAGCAGAATCATTCGAGCTGCTCGTAACAACGAATTAAATAATTTCATAAGTCATTTTTCCGGAATCTATTGCTAATTTTGATTGCAATCGCTCCAGTTTATCCATGTAAAATATGCAGTGGACGACGATAGGAGGTTTCAGGGTATTGATTATTTTTTTTTTCTGGATATTGAGGCCGCACAATCGATGAGTCAATTTCATTCGAGGCAATAATGTCATACGGGAAAAATGCGGAGATAATGAATATCGAATTGTGATGGGATTCTGAGACTTTCGAAATCATCCGCGAGAGTTGATAAAATAGAAAAATTCGTTTTTTTTTTTACATTTTTCTTTTCAAGGGAAAGCAGATAAGGTAGAAGCCTCTCTTGCAGATTCCTATGTGACCCGGTGTCGAAGAGAGATGGTAAAATAACCGGTGACAATTCACCATTCATCCGCTAGACTTAATTCAAACAATCCATGAATTGTTTAAAAAAAGTAATTAAAATCTTTATTGTACACAAAATATACAAAACTTAAAAATACAAAATTCAAACTCACTGCATTCACTTCTCACTTTGGGGAGCATTAAACTATTGTAAACAAAAAAAATATCACAAGGGTTAAAGGTTTTTCTACTGTACGAGATAATACGCAGTAATGTACTACAGTCCAATGGGAACAGGAAGAAAAAACAATGAGAAAATTATACAAATAGCTAATTACTAATAATAATGAAGCGTATACGTATCAACAATTACGACCCACGTATGAGAAAATTGAATAGAAAAATCTAGTGAATTCATTAGGCAAATCTATCGGATTTGATTGGAATTGTTCTAATTGAAAAGCCACTAGACTCACGCGTATTATTTCGATGAATTTTTCCGCGCGTTCTGCTTTAATCTTCTGCAACGAATCACCGCTTATTGACATCTCGTATCACACACGACACACATTGATATGAGCCCGGAACACATGACTAGTGCACCGAATCCGTAAATCATTACTTCTCATGGCTATTGTTGAAATTGACGTACTTCTTCGGAGGAAGACTGTCTAACTATCTTCTGAGAATCAAACGATTAATGAAGATGATTGATTAGCCTCAAAAATTGCCAGTAATCGAGGCGTTCCCAGCTGGCCCAACAGCTGGATCATCTCCGGAGGCTTCTGACCAGATGATTTCACGTTGTAATCAACAATTATCAACGAAAGATGCACTCGAGCCACTGTTTATCTCCGCGTAATCTTGCCGCGAGGCTGAGCAGAGCTTGCTTGAGAAGTCTGCCTCACGTTTTCTGGGATCAAATGAGTCATTTAATTTGAGTCAATTCAAAAGATTTTTATTTCGATTACTCTGTCATTTTTACTCTTACCCTCTTCCTGGAAGCTCCATCATATCAACGACGATATTGTCGACGTACAGTTTGTCGTTGCACCAGAAGAAACAGAGGGACCTAGGCTGCAGTACGTCCATGTCGTACGCCCAAGACAATTCTACCCTCCGAATTTTCCCAAGATCATTCGCAGCTCCTCCTGGGTGAGCTACAACTATTCTCCGAGTTGTCCCATGCTCTAGTTTCATGTATCCACTGGAAAATAATCGCGTGTAGACAAATCGTGAGATTATGTCTAACTTAAACAGCTAAATGTGTTGAGATCTGGGCACGAAATCATCATCTGAGTTATTATCTCAAGCTGATTGTTATCGCACTAGTTCTTACAACTGGTTGAAACAACTTTTCGTATCGGTAATTCAAGATTTCGACTTACTTCGGTGTTAAATCCATATTTCTGATGACACCATTGTCAGCATGAAGAGTTACCTTCATGAATCCTTGAACCCAGCTCTCGGCTGTGGGGGGGCGGGCAAGATTAATGGTTATTCGATAATGTCTCCCTGGAATCATGAATTACCACTTGAATTGTTCTGTAGTAATGAAATTCGACAGATGGATGTAAATACTGTAAATTATAACTGATATTTACGGCAGTACGGATCCTCCTTTCCCGTTGAGAAAAAGAACTTGGAGCCGAGTAAAGCGGACGCGTCCTGACCCATAGAAATTCTCTTGACCAAAGCCGGACTGCTGTCAGCGTGATACCCCATGATTCCACAGCTCAAACTGCTGTTGCTTTTGCAAGAAAAACACTCCCCCCTGAGGAAGCGTGCGTAATCCGTGCACTCGTGTGCCACATACTGACACTTTGAGTTGATGCTCTCGATGAAGAGCTTGATGGCTCTAACGTGATTGCACGCAACGAGAACACGCGACGCCTCTTCAAGACCCTCGCGAATCAGAGTCAACGGCAAAGATGGTGTTGTTTCACTCAGATCTGTACAACCGGGTTGTTCCTTACCGTTATTTGGGTAAAAGTCTAGGTGACCACACGGCTGGCTCATGCCGTACCCTGGAAGCCCTTAAACCACTTCACTCATTTTACGTTGCTCAACGGTATTGAAAATAATTCTCACCTTGCTTACCCTTAATTCACATTATTCCAGTAATTTTATCAATATTATACTGTACTTCAACTCACCTAGGAAGAAGATGCTCTTGCCATCGGTGTGGATGACGTCGACCAGTTGTGCATCAGTCCAATCTAAACGGAGATGACTGGGCATACCTTGGAAATAAGGCTCGGCTGGATCAAGACCCGTGATTCTGCCAATTTGTCCCTCCAATTTTTCACCGGCATAACCCGCCGTGTGTGCCCCCAGGCTGTGCCCGATCAGGTGCACATCACTCGTGTCCAGCCCGTAATTAGTCTGCGCAATTATGAATTTTTCATCGGTTCCATATAACTTTAATGGCTCAACAATAATCAACAATAATCCGATTTTCAACTGAAATCTTTCCTCACCTGAAGATGTTTAACGAGATAGGCGATCTCCAGTCCTACCAGTCGGGTATTAGCAGTGGCCTGAGTATACAAAGGAAGACTTCCACCCGCCCAATCAACAACAATCACATTATAATCTCCATGCTTAAGTAATTCATTTCTCATCTCCTTCACCCAATTACTCAATGGTGTGTCAATAAATCCATGAATAATAAACTTAGTCTTCCTCTTTGGATCGAAATTCGAGCGCTTTATCGACTTGTCCTTAGCAACAATCAACACCTGCCCCTGCAAACAACAACTAATTAGCTGACTAAATGCCTCATAAAACGGAAGTCTCATTAGAATACAAATTCTCCGAGAAGTGCTAATTTCCTTTTTTTCCCTCTAATTAGATTTTCTCCGGTAAATGGAGCTCAATTAAACTTCTGGTGAATCCAGACTCCGAGAGTCTCGAGATCAGTTGCTAGGATAAGTTACTTAGGCGTGACTTGAACGTTTAAAATCGAGACTTTAATTTAAACTTGAACGCTTAATAAGTGAAAATTGTTACTTCTCCCACTAGAAAATGCCTAATGATTTTAATTGATAAAAAATTGTACTATTGAATATAATTCATTGAGTAAATAATCAATTTCATAAATTGTATTAAAATGAAAATTTTTCGATTAATCCTGACGCTGAATTTGTTTGAGTTTGAGTTTGTTTCTGATTGGTAAATATAAATAAATATAAATAGCAGGAGTAAATATAAGTTGCAATAAATATCTCACCTCGGTCGGATTTTCATTGGTGTAAAGTATAAATCGAGTGTTAATGACTTCCCGAGGAAGTGGAAAGACATTTAATGGCCGATGAATGAGGTGATACCAACTCCTGGTGATATTTAAACAGCCCAGATCCTCGTAGCATCTCGTTTCATTCTCAACTGAAATGTTAACCCAAGATAAATAATTTATTACCTCATTATTTAAAAATTACATAAGCCAGAGGTTTATGCCATTTAATTATTTACCAATCCGTTAATTTCCGCCGGTCTAACCGGCGAAATCCCATAATAGTCCATCATTATGGAAATAAATTGCAAATCGGTTATCTTTATTTCTTCTCAGTCGATTTTCATAGAGTACACGAATGCAATGATATTTAGAAATAATAGCTGGACACTTGGATCCCGCGGATAATCATTTGTCCCGGTGATGATATAATACTTTACCCAGTGAAGTAAGTTATTATGATTTTGTGTAGTTACATGGTAGCCAAGGGATGTTGACTTCAATTCTGTCACTGCGTGCCCATTGCCAGGGATCCAGAATTCCGGCAGAACCCAAAATCGGTCCCAATGTCAAAAAAAATAGAATCACCGGTCCCTGGATTTCCGCAAATACTCGTGGTCTTGCGCCTATCCTTCTCATCCTAAAATCACATAAAAATTGAACATATAAAAAAACACAACACAACATCTTTTCAAATTAATTCCCATCATCTGCTCCCCGAGTCTCTGAACTGCTAATTAGTTTCATTCCATTTATTAATAGAAAAAAAAATTGCTGACGAATTTCTGTGTATTCCGTATATTGTATGAAATAAGGAAATTTAGTAATTGATTGAGAATTCTTTTCAGAAAATTGTCGTCAGCTTTCCGTTCTCTGTACAATAGTTCTTCATGCTAATTTCTCTATCTGTTTGCAGCAACAGGCGATTCTTCAATACTGATGACGAGATTAGATCGACTCACTTCATTTCACCAGTCCACAACTGAATCCTGACATAAACTGAGGAGATTTATTGTCATGGGTTATCCAAGACTGTGCAGTGTACTTGAAACAATGTCTCCTGGACAAGATCCGGACAGCGAATGTCCAAAAAATATCAAGGTAGTCCTACTTGTAGGAGCCTGAAAGCACACATTGCAGTACTGGAAGGGAGAGGACGCCCAAAAAGTGAAGATGGGGGATCACATTGATTTTGTCACACCCGCAGGTTTCGGGTATTTTTTACCTGCGGTCAAGAATCCAAATGCTGCGCAATACATGAAAAATAATAGCCGGATGAACCTTCGTCTACACCGAAAAACAATTCTTGCCACTCTGTTCCATTACTTTCCGAAAAATTCGTTCGACACGTTGAATTCCAATGAAGATTTCCTGTAGAGATTTTAGATACTCAATTTATCGGACTCGGAAAAGATTTTTGTCCTTCTCAGATCGTGGGAAATCGTCGGCTGAATTTTCTAAAAATCAAGCGGAAGATCGTGTTGGTTCTTTTTTTAGAATTTCAGATGATTTCAGTGACTAAATGAAATTCCTGACATTCCCCTGATGGATGTGGCGGAGAATTCAGGTGCCATTGAAGCCAGAAATCCTTGAAGAAAAAAATGATATAATTGGGGTAATTGGAACACTCCGGCCTCGTCATGATTCAAGTTGAGAAATTGAACGATTCCGACTGATAGAATTGAAATTCTTGACCAGCGCAATCTGAATTTTTCCCTCCCAAATATTCAATGACGTGATTAATCGGAATAAATCAATTGAATGAGACTATAACGATGCGTAGGGAAGGTCTTAAAAATATCAATTGAATTCAGAGTGCCTGAATTATAGAGGCATCAGATTCTATCAGACTTTTTATCACGAAATACCTGCAAAGGAGGTAAAAGAAAGTGCTATTAGATGCAATCAAGTCCAAGTCCTTGGTTAAGTTGTATCTCACTGCCGGGATCAGTGCTGTATGCCCCTCGGCGATGCAAATAGCTCCTTGGGTGATTTCACTTTTCACTGTGATATGCCAGACATCATACTTTGTAGTTGACAACACAAGCAAGTACTAATCAATATCGATTATCAAACACCGGATCAACGGGTTTTTACAAATTAATGATAACACGCACGCGTCTAATCCAACAAATGCCCAACGATTCGTCAAAAAAAAATATCCCGCAATCAACTTCATTTATCATTATTTATTATTAATTTATAGTACTCTTATTTCAGTTAAATCAATGACATTCATTTTTACAAATTTGAATAAAAATTCATTTGTTATAATACACTATACAATAAGAAATACCATGAATTTATTTAAGAAGTGGAAAATCAAAAAAATAATAATAAAAGAAGGGATAAAGAAGAGAAGGAAGGGAATTCTAAATTACGAAAAATAATGAATAAACGATGAAATCCGTGAAAATGGGAGAAGGTGTTGGGGACTCATGTCCATATTATTGCTTTGCTGTCAATAGTCTCCTGAGTTTATTCGCTTGGAATATCAATTTCACTAAATTCCGATACAACTAAATATTTTCATATAACCGATGATATGAGTGAGTAAATAAAGTGTGTACAGAGCAACGTACGGCGTAGATTCTCCATTTACGTTGACATATCAATATGTCTACACATCGAATGTTCTGGCAGACATGTTTGCCCCTCGGCATAATTATGCAACTTCGCACAGCACTTGGCAAAAGTTATGTCATCCAACGAAAGAGACACTACGAAATACCGCGAAAAACTTCGCAGCTCGAGAAACAGCAATTTACCATGGAAATGCGGTGGACAAAATTGCCGGGGCATTAGACAGTTTATCCCGCCTTCAATTTACACCGGGATGTACTCTATCAATTACCTATTGCCGTAATTTAATGTGTAAATTGTGGTCGTATTAGATTGCCCAACGAAACTCGCGAGCACGCGATACTATTTTTTATTTTTTGTTTTCATTTGTATTCTCGTCGGAGTTTCGATGGTAACACATCGAAGGACAATAAGAATCTAATGGTCTCGGTGTTGGTATTCTTATTTTGTCCGACTATAATTGTCATAATTCGATGAGAATGACACACTTGATTTTTATGTAACAAAATAGTAACTTCTAACTACTGGTAAATTTACTGGCAAATGTTTACGCAGTGGTTTGATATATCGGTAAGAATTAATTTTTAGGAACCTTCTACTTATGTGAAAGCATTACACTTGGCAGTTCCGAATTGATTGGTTTCGGTCGAATATAACCACGGAAATTCGTCGACTTTATGGATATCGACGGTCATTTTCTTATACGGCAAAATCCTGTCTCTGGCATTTCTTGCAACAATATTTCTTCTTACTTCCAAGCAGGTGGGCCCATTTTGTTCATTAGAACATTCTCCATTGAGTTACGACACGCCTTTCCCATTTTTTGTAATTCCATATTTTTATTTTTATAACACACCTCATCGTAGAAGTAATGATCCAGCAAATGAGCAGTCATACGTTTTTATCGGTATATGCAAAAAAATTGCTCAACGCAAAATGGAAAATTCGTTCTTTTATTTTTCATGTATTAATTAGCTGTTCATTATGTTTCAACAGTTTAAAAATTAGCCAAGTCTCCCGGATTCCATTTGAACGAATGATCTGAAAATCTCCCGCCAAAACACTTTAATCGCTCTCCCCACGGTTGAAAATAAAAAGAAATTCCTGAGGAATGCAACACACGTAATTCTTCTCACGAAAACACATGTGCACTTTGAGTGCAAGTGAGCGGTGCAATGTTACCGTAAGCGGAAAGTTTGAATTGCCCGCGTGAAGGTGCGCGAGACACCCAAATACCCGAGTAAAGGTCTCGTGCTCGTATTTTTTTTTAGGAGTATTAAATAATTACCATTTCGAAAGGGAGAGTGCCCCAGTCCGTTTCCAATACGAGGTGCACTGGGTATCGGTGTTGGTGCCCCAGATTCACTCTCTGACGTCCTTCCCGACGGCAATGCTGCGCCACTTCCTGACAATTCCCCACCTTTTATTTTCGATTACACCGTACATCACTCTGGCGAATATCCCCGTCTCTCGCGTTAAAATTTTTATCTCCCAACACCCACTTTCCCTCCTTTTCTTCGCCGCGAATGTACATACGCGAAGAAAGTCGAAAATACAGTGGGGAAAGTAGTCAATACACGGGCGTTAGCCTTCCATTGTTTCCCCATTATTTTAACATTTTTATCCGATTTATCCGAGATTATTCATTTTATTTTTTCTTTTTTATATCGAGAAAAAATCATTTTTCCAATAATAATGCTTTTGCAGATCTGCTATCGCATTCCTGATACGCTCCGCGCTCGTATTTACAATATAATTTTTTAAAACATCTACTTGGATTGTTAAAGAACGTAATGCAAGTTGTATTAGTAATAATGAAGTTTGCGTGTTGTTATGGCGCCGTGACTAATTGTACAGGAAGTTAACGGGCGTGCTCATCTGCGCTCCTGGTATTTCCACTCTTCATTTAAAGTTTTACATTCACTTGAGCATTTGTTTGGTTTTTTTTATTATCTCGGGCCCGACGAAACAGGATCAATACAAGGAGAATAAGTTAACGAATAATAAACGAATTTCCTCTTTATTCTGCATTCTATCTTTTGAATTAGGATAGAAATAATTTTTCACTTGTTTACACTCGACAATGACTCACCCGACTTGTCTTGAAATCGAATAATACAAAATGAGGATCAAGTAATGGAGAAATTAGGTCTCAGTCTTGCTCCCGTTATCGCCTTGCGGGAATTATTACCCCGAGTCGCTTCGATCTTTATTTACGATTACGTAATATTCCGGAATGCAGCAACACCTTTCTCCGATTCTGCAGTCTTTCCCGTCTTTCGCATGCTGATTTTTATTGATCTATGAACAATTTAACAATTGGCAATGATAATTATCGATTGACTCGGTTTGTTTTCAGAGCGATTAGACGTGAACTGAAAAGTCACATGGAAAAAAAAACGTTTTGGGATTTAGATTATCCAATGACGCTTGGAATCCATTTTATATATTTTATATATTTTATATATTTTATATATTTTATATATTTTATATATTTTATATATTTTATATATTTTATATTTTATATATTTTATATATTTTATATATTGTCCGAGTGACAAATTTCGCTTTATATCAGCACGTATATCCTGGTAAGAGCCCAAATGCCTCGGGATTAACGATTCACCTCATGGCGCCAGTGATATCTCCACCTCGCGGTTATGAGATCTGCGAATGCTATAAATAAAATGAAACACCTCTTTCTTTTTATTCCTTACCAGTCCAAATATGTAATTTCATCTGTCGGTGTACAAGTAGTGCACATGCAAATACTTCCTCCCAGTAATTTATCATTTTCCTCTTTCGTTTTCCGTTCCTCCAGCGTGACGAGATTATCATCACCCACAAGCCCAAGGAACGCAAGTTCCTGTGAAAATATATTCTGTACTTCCAGGTGAGATTGACTGATTAACCAATTGCAGTCGATCCAATCAGAGGGTAAGTATTAGGTGCTAGTGGATTTTTGTAGAAGGGCGGATCGAAGTAACACACGTTGAGCTCAATATTCAATTATTAAATTCAATCCAATGGAGTAATGTTATGTTTAATTTTTACTCT